TCTGCCTATCTTGATGGTTTCATATTAATGAAACCATACAATATACGGACTTCTGTGTCTGGCTTCTTTCACTTAGCATAATGTTTTCAAAGTTCATCCACGCTGTAGCATGTATCGGTACTTCTTTCCTTTTAATGGTCAAATAATATTCCATTGTAGAGATATAACACATTTTATTCATTCATTCATCAGTTGATAGACATGTGGTTTATTTCTACCTTTTAGTTATTACAGTTAATGCTACTATGAACATTTCATGTACAAGTTTTTGTGTGGGCGTATGTTTTCATTTGTCTTGAGTGTATATTGAGTTGACCCAAAAGTTCATTCAGGTTTTTCCGTTGCATCTTATGGAAAACCCTGAATGAACGTTTGGGCCAACCAAATACCTAGAAGTGGAATTGCTGGGTTCTACTCCGTATGGTATCTCTATGTTTAATCTTTTGAGGAACCACTAGACTCTTTTCCAAAATGACTGTAACATTTTACATTCCCACCAGCCTTGTATAAGGATTCCAATTTCTTCACATCCTGACAACACTTGTTATTGTCTGTCTTTTTTAACATAGCAGATGTGAAGTGGTTCTCATGGTGGTTTTGATTTGCGTTTCCCTGATAGCTAATGATGTTTAGCATCTTTTCTTAAGCTTGTTGGTCTTCTGATTATTTTCTTTGGAAAGATGTTTACTCAAATCATTTGCCCGTTTTTAAGTCTGGCTATTATTGAACTATAAGAATTCTTTAAATATTCTGAATATATATTCTAAGTATTCTTATCAGATTTATGATTTGGAAATATTTTCACCCATTCTGCAGGTTGTTGTTTCGCTTTCTTGATAGTGTAGTTTGAAGAAAAAAAGTTTTTAATGTTCGAGAATTCCAATTTATCTATTTTTTTCATTTTGTTGCTTGTACTTTTGGTGTCATATCTAAGAATCCACTGCCAAATCCAAAGTCACAAAGATTTACTCCCATGTTTTCCTCTAAGAGCCTTATAGTTTTAGCTTGACATTGAGGCCTTTGATCCATTTTGAGTTAATTTTTGTACAGGTGTAAGACAGAGATCCAGCTTCATTATTCTGCATGTGGCTGTCCATTTGTACCAGTACCATTTGTTGAAAAGTCTATTCTTTTTCTGTTGAATGATGTTGACATTTTTTTTCAAAACCCAGTTGGCCATAGATATGTAGGTTTACTTTTGGGCTCTCATTTCTGTTCCATTGATCAATGTGTCTATCCTTATCCCGGTACTGTACTATCTTGATTAATGTTGCCTTGTATTAAGTTTTGAAATCGAGAATATGAATCCTCCAACTTTGTTCTTTTTTTCCAAGATTATTTTGATTATTCTAGGTTCCTTACATTTCCATATGAATTTTCAACTACTTTCTAAAATTTCAAAATGAAAAACTCTTCTAGTGTTTGTGGGCTGTCACATCTATAAGTGGGTCTTTGTTTTTGCCTTCTGGGGATTTAAGAGCAAAGAAATCAAAATTTTTATAGTTTTGTGGCTTCAGTATAGTAGGAATTTCCCCCCAAAAAATTCATCCAACTGAACATTCTTTAGATTTTATCTTGAAGTATCTATCCTCTTCTTTCCCTAATGAGAGATTCTTTCAAACTGTTCAGCTTGAGAAGCTTTGCCTGCTAAGAATGATCTCAGACACTTGGCCACATCTTCCTTAATTCCAAGCTTCTAGAGGTTGTCACTGGTTAGTCAGAGAAGCAGAGGCAACAATAATTAGCCCTGTATCAATTTGCAATCTGAAGAAAAAAATATTCAAGAAATGTTCTCTAAAATCACTCTCTTATTTTAAATTCTTGATCTGAGCATCACCTAATAAAAAGCTGTACACCCTTACCCCCTCCTTCATCCCCACCGAGGAATGCAATGGTCTCAAGAATTCACGTAAAAACCCCCTCTCAAATGAGCACGTTGAGAGGTAAGGAAAATGGTGTTGAAAGCAGTGGAGACCTGCAGAGAGAGGAGCAGAAAGGATAAAGAGCATGATAAGGGCAGAAACCAATAGGAACAGAGAAGGGAAGAGAATGAAGAGGGAAAGGGAAAGGGGAGCTCAGAAAGGGAGAGAGAAGCATATGGCAGGTATCAATTATTTACCATTCATGTACAATAAAAAAAAATGCACTTTAACTACAGGAAGAGCACCAAATCCACTCAATAACCATTTAAAAGCATATGGAAATAAAACACAGCCATTTAGAGGGCTGTAATAAATGTGCAATGCTCTTTGTAATGCCCCTGAAAGAATACAAGCGTTAAGCCTTGGTAAATTACACTTAAAAGTAAGTGTAACATAAAAACGAAATTAGGCATACAAATAACCTCACACTTAGGCACTTTTTCAAAGTCTCCTTCAAACAGTTAATTAGAAAAGCCTCTAAGGATCATAACTTTTCTTCTCTCATATTTTCTTCTCTTAACAATAGAGCCAAGCAAATGGCAAGAGCAAATAAACAGAGATTCAGGATGCATAGAAGGTCTGCGTTATATCCTCAGCCTTGGAAAATGAAAAATGGGGAAGACAATAAAAAGCAGGCACTGTCAAAACTGTTCCCTTCACTTACTAGAGAACTGAATGAAACCCTTTAAACACGGGTCACAGAAATATGTAGATGGCATCATAGGTTCTGTTTCCCAATTACACATTTTAATAGCTTCAATGTTCTCTTCAAAATGCAATAAGCCAGTCAAAAAGTACTATTAACCTCATGTGCCCATTCTTCATTAACATCTGCTGTATAATATAGTCATGTTTCCAGTAAACCAGGTCCCACATGTTCCAGCCTTAAAAGGGAGAGAATCAAAAAAAGAGTTTGGCTCCAAGGGGCTGTAGCCATTAGATACCAGATTAAAGCAGGCACAGGGTGGGGTGAGGCTCTGGCAGAATTTGCTGTGTTCCAGCCTGCAAATTCCACATAAAAGTTCTCATCACAAACAAGAGTTCTCTCAGCAGCAATGAGTAGCACATGTCTTTTTCACCCTATTCCGTCAGCCCCCAAATCTTTTTGCATGTCTAGTACTACATAATTTCATGAATGTCGCAGCTTGGGTGTCCCAGGAAGAAGACTCTGAGACAGAGATTAGTGTGCAGGACATTTTTAGGGGGTGCCCTTGGGATCCAACACCTATGGCAGGGAACGGAAGAGAAGGAAGCAAAACTGGGCAGAGGGAGAAGTCGGGCTGCAGTGCAGTTTCGATGGACGCCTCAGCCTAACTTCTGAGGATTTCTGAAGATGGACCCACCTCTCAATGCTGCTCCATTTGGGTGAGAGGACCAAAGCTCTGTACCCCTTCATCAGTCAGTCTTTGGATGCAGCTGCCCCAGGAAGGGGGCGTGGCCTTGTACAAGGCCTCTCTCCTCACCAGAGAGAACCTGGAAGGGGCCGGCTGCCTGCAGCACCCCAGCAGCTGAGGGCATCAGACCGTAAGACGGAGCAGCACATCCTCAGGTCCACCACAGCGAGCAAACAGAAAAGGCCTTTTCGGGTTCGTCTGTTCATTCAGAAAACACTTGCTGCATCTTTTCAGTGGGCACAGCTCTGACCTGCGCTGACTGATTATTGTTTCCAGTGTGTCTTCTGGCATAGAACACAAAGAGCTTGATACTCATTGTGTCTCCCGAATTCTCTGTGAGGCAATATTGTATCAAGGACTCACCTGCCCATTTCACACATAGGAAAACTGATGATGGAGAAAAGCAATCAGCTAGAGTTTTTTACAGGTAAGTCCTCCAGTATTTAAAAGAAAAAAGGCATCCTGAGGAGGCGATAGCAAACCTTGCCTAAGAATGTAGGTAATCCATTGATGTGGGGTTACAGATGGACAGGAAAAGGAGAGAGAGAGCTTATGAGAAAGTTGCCAAGCTCTGGCTTCTTTCCTCCTCTTTGTCTTTCTATTTTGGCAGATGCCAGAGGGCAAGATTTAGTCCATAAATTATACTCTGACCCCATTTTCTAAATTTCATTAAAAAAACATTTTTTTCTCTTTTATCTGAAAATTCCTCTTTCAACTCTTATAAAGACACTCCTGGGTCGGTCTTATTACCCAATAAGTAACCTGCTACTGTTCACACTGACTGTAATCAAGCCTGCACCGCCGTCCTAACAATACACCAAAGTGTGCCACAGACAGCCAGCGCTCACCCTCTTGTGTCATTTTACTTAATTAATAAGTGGAACAAAGATTGCGGAAAAGGAAGAAATTTGATTACGCAGCATTGTAATGGCACTGTAGTCTCCTGTAAAGACTGAGTGGGGTCTGCCCCCTTAAAATCTCCATTTGCTCCACCACTGCACCATGGAAATGTCAGCTCGACTCCCCCCGCCGCCCACCCTGAGGTGACCTTTATTTAGCTGCATCTCTCAGTAATACTAACCCATTAGTCATGCCTGGGTCAGTGATGTGTCAATAACAGAATAATTATTGAAGAAAGCCTTAAGAGGAAGGACAGTAGCCTCAATTCAGAATTAGCTCGACCCAAACCGGCACCGCGGCTTGTTGAATAAATGAATGGATGTCGAATAAATGGTCCCTTTACATGTGGAGACCTAAAGACTGTTGATTCCATTAATCCAGGAGGTTATTTGTAGCTGCTAAATACCTTTTTAGACCAATAAGTGGCATGGCTTTTACTCCTGCTGGCTACAACCTACCCTTTCTAGTAGAACAAATTTACTGTACTTAATGGTTCTGGCATTTTAAAAGGAAGACACAGGGCTGTTCAGACTCCCTGCACCTTTTGTAGGGGCACTGGGTGCAAAGAATAACCTCTCTCTACTCACAGGAGAGACAGTCTTGAGATCCTGAAATTAGAGATGCTTCCAAACTCCACGCTAGACCTCTGATAGAAACCAAACAGCGAGGTGTGGATAAAACGAATGAGGAACAATGAGAGAGGCAGTGTGGCTTAACAGTTAAAGGAGGAATACAAGAGACAGACACACACACAGGGAGGATACCATGTGGAGATTGGAGTTACCCTGCCCAAAGCTAAGGAACTACCAGAAGCTGTGAGAAAGGCCTGGAACAGATCCTTCCTTGGCTCCTTCAGAGGAAGTATGGCCTTGCCGACATCTTGATCTTGAGCTTTTAGCCTCCAGACCTGTGAGACAATAAATTTCTGTTATTTAAGCCACTTAGTTTGTGGTACTTTGTTACAGCAGCTCTAACAAACTGATACACTGGGGTCATAACTTGCAGCCAGCAGGCCTCGTATGGGGTCCTGTCCTCATCATTTACTTGTTGTGTCATCTTGGGCAAGTTACTTAAACTCCTTACCCATCTACTTCCTACAAAGGCAAGACAATAATACATGGTTTACCTACCTCACAAATCTGTTGTGGGAGTAGAAACCTTACATATGCAAAAGCACTTTGCAAATTCTAACAGAACATTATGTATGTTGTATGTGACATAAAAGTGTCTAGTATGACATTCTGTACGGTAGTACTTCCCATCCCTAAGATATGTACAAATTAGGGGCTCCAGGAGTCTATAAGGAGAGCTCCAAAAGTGTTCAGAAAATAAACAAACAAAAAACTCCCTCTCCCTAGCCATCTAGATAGGCAAGGTAGATTTGAATAGGGAATGGGGAGCTGTTGAGGTGAAAAGGAGAGCCCAGATCTAGAGTTATCTCTTGCTAATGTTATACTACAAATGAAAATGACAGCAAAGCAAGGAAATTAACATACTAAACAGGCACCAGCCAAGACCAGCTACCCAAGACCCATCCTTCCCACAGGAGTATAGAGGCCCAGGGAAGGAGAGAGAGCTGGAGTTAAGGAACATAATGCACAATACTCAACAGCAGCTTCTGTACTGTAACAGTCTTCATTAGAAGCCATATATAATATTCCCATGTTGTTGTTTTTTTAATAAGCAGGTGTTTCTTCTATATTCAATTGCCACCAGAATAAATCCTGTGGTCCTTCAGTTCCAGCTATTACGTGAAGCTGCATTTTTTTTAAAAGTCCAAGACTGTACAAGGCAATTCATTGATAGTATGCGTCTTTGATATGATACAGGGAAACTGGCACTTTACCTCTTTGGTCTTCCTCCCTATAACCTGGTCTAATCATAAGAAAAACAGGAGACAAATAGAGGCACATTCTGCAGAATACCTGCCTAGTGCCCCTCAAAACTGGCAAGGTCGCCCAAAACAAGGAAAGCCTGAGAAACTGCCACAGCCAAAAGGAGTCTAAGGAGACATGACAGTTAAATGAATGTAGTATCCTGGATGGGATCCTGCAATGGACAAAGGACATTAGGTGAAAACTAAGGAAATATGAATAAACTATGGGCTTTAGTTAATAATGATGTATCAATATTGGTTCATTAATTGTAATGAACGTACTATACTAATGTAAGATGTTAATAACAGGGGAAATTGGGTACAGGTATATGGGAACTCTCCATACCCTTGTGTCAGATTTTCTGTAAATCTGAAACTATTCTAAAAAATGAAGTTCATTAAAAATTTTAAAAGGCCACCAAAATTTTGCTTTCATCTTTTGAAGAGTATTAGAGAAAATTATATTTTTGTCTTACAAAAACCCTTTTTAGAAATCCCCTTTCCTCTTCTCTCCAGATATCATACAACCTAAAATTTCTCCAGAGCCTCTTGCTTTCACAAATTCCTACACACATATGCGCGTGAGCGCATGTGCACAGCAGCACGCAAACCATAGCTTTTTTGTCTCTCAACCTCCCTTGCTGATACAGTGCTATCTCCACTGTCACCATTCTCAACCCACAGGCCCTTCTTGAATGTGTCACCACCAAGACTTCTGCTCCAGCCAGCCAGTTACAGCCCTTCAGGAAACCTGGATGACACAGTAGTCCCATATACCTATTCTTTCCTCGCTGCTTGTGGGGAAAAAAATACATAAGGCATTCCCTGGAATGTGTAGTTCTTCTCCAGAAGAACTATCTCCAGAAGGTCTATCAGATTTTCTTATAAGCAATTCTAGTGAAGAATGTGTAACAGATGAAATTCTCTACCTCAATGTATGATGTTTTAAAAGTCAAAAAGTAAACATATCACTAATATCATTCTCTTACCACCTAGATATATGAACTAGTGTTGAGTTTAAAAAAAAAAACATTTGGCAGTCCCAGAAGACTAATTACAAAACTGATACTATTTAATAAAGCTCAGAAATAAGCAATGCTAAAGACTATATTGTTTAGACATACCTGAATAGGTGACAAAACTAATTTTTTAAGAAGCAAAGGAGTAATAAACACAAAATTCAGGATAGCGGTTATATCCTGTGAAGGAGGGTAATGTTCTAGGTCTTACCCTGTATAGATATTTTATAACTTGCATATATATAATCTTTGGTATGTGTAAAATAAAAAGATGTGTTTTTAAAGGATAATTAGAGCCCTACTGGTGTACTATATCGGTCAGATTCCTCCAGGCAAGGAAACCAACCTTGGGTTATTTAAACAGAAAAAGACCTTATTAATAAGATACTGTGTGGCTCACAGAATAACCAGAAGGACACAAAGGCCAGGCTGGGGGTCAGGCAAGAACTCAGGCAGCAGAGTTAGCCCTGGGAAGACACCGCTAAACACAGACACTAAAGCTTACATCTCCAAGCCACCAGCACAGGACCCTGATAAGAGCACTAGAAACTTACCACACTGCCTCTCAAAACTGGATAGGGGGACAGCTGCTGCCGGCGGGTGGCTGTGATTCTTGCTTCATCTCACCTTCTAGCTCTAGTTTCCAACTCTGGGTGGGTACATCTGATTGGTGGAGCCCAGGTCATGTGCCTGTGCCCTATCTGCAAGGGAAGCTAGGAACCTGCTTGGCTTTTACTGTAGGAAGCAGGCTCAGTCTCCCCCAAGACTCACAAGGTAGTGAATCTCCCACACAGAGATAGTGACTTCAGATGCTGGGTGTCAAAAGAGTTGACAAATGTCCACTTTTTTAGCTTTTCAATATCAACATACATCTTTCTCCCCATGCATCTGCTTTTTAAAATATTGCTGCTTAACATAATAAAACTCCCTCATATATTCAAGGAGGAATCACCTAATGCCCACAGTATGAGGACCATCCAGAGATCCAGGGTCTCATCAGGTCCTGCACGCAGCTCCAAGTGCAAGATCTCTGACTGTTCATTCTTACACTAGTTCCATCATGACCTTCTCCTGATATTCTGTACCCTCTAAACCAAAGTGTTAAGCTAACTCCCACCAATTCACCCTATAAACATAATGGAGAAAACAGAAAAGAAGGAAGAGGGAAGGAGGAAGAAAAGTGAAGTATAAAAATACATGTTTATCCCAACCAAAAAACTGTAGCTGGTCATGAATCAATAGGTGGCGTTTATGGATTCCCTACCCATTCTAAGGTTCCTCTGCCTTCACACAGAACCTCAGTTAGGGGTTTTTGACCTCACTGAGTGACCCAGGGTTTTCCTCCTGAGGGATCAGAGTCGGTGGTGGTCCTATTTGTACAGGATGATTAAGTCTTCAGTTAACTTTTGACACTGGGTGTCCACCTTCCTCTCTCTCCCACTGTAGTAGTCATCCCATTTCTTTTCTAGTGTCAGGATCAGTCAACCCAGCAACACCGTAGCCCCCCTTTGGCCTTTTCACCCAATGGTGTGAGGTTGTAATTAGAATCTCCAGAGTACTGCTATTTTCATGAGTACATTAGGTTTCTGGTGCTGCTGTAACAGCTTACGACACACTTGGTGGCTGAAAACAACAGAAATTTAGAAATTTAGAAATACAGTCTCAGAGACTGTGGAGACCTTTTCTAGAGGTGTCTAAAATCAAGATGTCAGTAAGATCATGCTTTCTCCAAAGGTTCTTTGACTTTTCCAGTTTCTGGTGGTTCCAAGTATTGCTTGGCTTATGGCGGCATAACTCCAGTCTCTGCCCTTGTCTTCACATGGCCTTCTCCCCCGTGGCCTCTGTGTCTCAAATCTCCTTTTCTCTTATAAGGACACCAGTCATTGGATTTAGGGCCCGTCCACTAAATTCAGGATGACTTCATCTTGAGATTCTTAAATACATCTGCAAAGACCCTATTTCCAAATAAGGTCACATTCACAGTTACTAGAAGTCAGGACTTGGACATATCTTTTGGGAGGACACAACTCAACCCATTACAATGAGCATCCACAAAGGACACACCAATTATCTAACTCTGGGCTCATTCTGAGATTTCTAACCATATTTCTATTCCCCAAGCTTCTAAGTCAACAAACAGTCTCTTGTTCTTCTTGCCAAGTCCCTACCCAACCTGCAAACTATTATGCCAGCCCATGAATTAGGGTAAATCCTTATCTCAGGCTCCCTCCATTCAGACAAAGTGGGAAATGAGATGTAATGAACTGAAGGGAAGGTCTACAGACCAGATCCTTGCCCCGAAATGGAGGCAGCTCCACCTTACTGCAGCTCCACCTAGAAAGGACTACTGATATCCCACAGGTGACACTATTCAAGATGCCCTAGCCCAGTCGGTGATTGTTAAAGATTAATATTTGTAAACTGTCCAGATTTGGGACAATTATATGCTGAAGTGATTATTTTATTGGAGACATAGAACTAGTATACAACCTACTCTATGGAGTGAGACTTCCTCTGAATATATAAATGTTTACACTACTGTGAAAAGATTTTTCACTCTGAAAAGAAGCCCACCCTCTGGCCTTGAATGGTTGAGGGAGGACAGGGTTTCTGGAAAGGTGGCTTTCAGCTTCCAAACACAACCCATTTTCTATTACTTTGTGTTGCATCTCAAAATATCCCCCAGACAAGGTAAATGCAGCCCACCCCCAAAATACATGTTAGGCCATATTCAAATGTCCCATAATTATGCACTGAGAAAATATTTAACTGCACTTTTCAGGTCAGCATTGTTCTTCCTAACCTCACAGATTATTTGAATTTTAGAAAAATGAGACCAAGAATAGAGCTGAGACTTTTCGTTCCATTACTTCTGAATTAGGAAGACCTTACTATCCTCCTCCTTTGTATTTCTTTTCTCTTTACTAAGAAATTTGTTACTCATGCTGTTTCTCTGACAATCAATTCATTGATCTTCACTATTCCACTCCAGGAATATTTGAAATGCAAATA